GTGGGAGAACTTGCACAATTGGTGGCTGACTAAATACTTTTTTGCCCCACTGTAACCTAAATAAGTTTTCTTAGAATTGTATAATATAAGCAATATAAGATTCTGCTGCATTTCATTCTGAGAGAAGCATGAATTGCTGAACTTATTCTTGTATTCTTTTAAAGGGAGAAACTTTTGACTTTCCAGAAATTGTTCCATTTCGCCTTACTCATAACATGGTCAATGGGATGGGTCCCATGGGCACAGAAGGGCTCTTCAGGAGAGCTTGTGAAGTTACCTTGAGACTTATGCGTAACCAGAGAGAACCACTCATGAGGTAGAGAAAGAGTGTTCTTCAAGCAGGGCATCAAAAAAATCATTTAACTTAAACAATCATCTCAATCTCAGAATTTCATTGTTGTAGTCATGCTACCTTGCATAAATATCCCCTGTAATATTGAATGGGTAGTACTGTATTACATGTTCTTTCCTTTGTTTCTGTGACTCAGAGGGTTAAGCCAAACATGATAGTCATACAATTATAAACCAGTTCTGTTTATAGTACAAGAGAGCTACACAAAATTATTTTGTGATTATCTCTTCTGGATTTCCTCATGGTACTTCCCAAATAAGAGTTATAAAGTGGTTTGCAGTGGGAAAACAGAAGTAGATAAAACTCTAGTCACAGACTTTCAGCTCAGAAACAATGCACTTATTATTTCCTCTTTAAGGCTCTTATAGAAAGCTAGAAATAATAACAACAATATTATTAGTATTACTATTATTATTATTTTATAATATGCTACTCCACTCCCAGCAATTCTGGGTGGTAACTGAATCTAATGAGACTTATTACAACAAATGCAACTAAATATATTTTCTTTCCTCCCTCCCAAATCTAGTGTTTTGAAGACTTTTCTCCATGATCCTCTTGTAGAGTGGAGTAAACCAGTTAGAGGCAATACAAAAACCGCAGTAAATGAAACTGGAGAAATTGTCAATGAAAAGGTAAGCTGGTAAAACTCAGGGCTAAACAGCAAGACGGACTATTTTTGTAAACCAAAAATTCAAACTTTGTACCAGGAAAGTAAGCAAATATAACTGGATATTAAGCAACATAACCTTGCTTTGAATATGAAACTGAATTTATTCAGGAAGATCAAACACAAGAGGAACAGATAACTACAAAACTTTGGAACCTTTGGCCCATTTGCTTTTCATCAGCTCAGCAATGTTTAATTTTTTTTATAAGTTTTTCATTCCTTAATACCAAATAGTATTCAGAAATATTTATTTTTATGATGCACATTGATTTTTATGATATATATGAAAATGATACTTAAGAATTTGCTGATCTCATGTAAACTTTATAGAGTATACTTTTAATGGTTATTTTTTTATTACCAAAATATACATACAGTTTATCTCTTTTTTTCGGGGAGGGGGTGCCTTCAAGTCATTGTGGACTCGTGGTGACTACCTGATCTAATCCCTGCGGTTCTCTTGGCAAGATTTCGGAAATGGTTTGCCATTGCCTGCTCCTAGGACTGAGATTGAGTGACTGGCCCAAGGTCACCCAGGTAGTTTTGTGCCCAAGGCAGGACTAGAACTTATAGTCTCCCAGTTTCTAGCCCAATTCCTTAACCACTACATCAAACTGTCTCTGATAAATCTAGAATCTTCCGATGCATACCCAATCCACTGTTTCTCATCAGTTTTTAACAATTCTCATCAGAATTTAAACAATTGAAGAATTCAAAATTCAGCTTGAAACATACTCGTTTTGAAACTCACCACTTTCTTTAATGTGTATCAATGAAGACTAAATGAATCATTTATGGAACTGCATCCTATTATTAGTATAGAAGGCTCTTACCATAAAGTATGCATTGGCTGTGATTATTGAGTCATGGATTGAGTTAGCAAGCTATGATGAACATCATTATCCAATCAACCCTGGAATTAGAGGAATTATTATAGCCTAAACAACTCTTGGGTTCTTTGTGGTTAAACTAATGTCCCCCAGATAGCCATGTTTTCTGATAAGAAGATGACTAACAGGTTTAACCAACTCTTGACTGCTGGGACAGAGATAAATCCTACAGCAGGTTGATAAAAACAACTGCTCTAGGAGCTCTTTCCTCTTTTTTTCCATTTTTCTTTCATCCTGCATCCTTCATGGGAAGATGGTACATAGGAAGAAAGGGGTTGCATGTAAGCTTCTTCAGTCCTATCTGCAATGGTGTTGGCCCTAATTAGTCTGCTGTTGATTTTATATATATATATTTAAATATATTAAAAAATCTGTCATTTAAGATGGTTGGAGATCTGTCAGTGGTAGACACTCCCACTTTGACTGGGACATCCATAATTGTGTGACACTGATTTACAAGGTTTTACTAGATAGCTGTATTGTGTTGTGTGAACACAGCCACTGTATGTGCCTGGGTTCATTCACTGTGCTAAGCCATAAAGTAGTTGGCTTGGTTTAATGTATTAAGTGAACCCAGTTTACATTGTATGGTATGTAAATTGTAATTTTTGGCTTAGTGTATAGTACAAACTACTCAGTTCTAGCTAATAATAAACCTCCAGTGGAGATGGAACCTCAATCTTCTATGTTGGGAGAGGGAAGTTAGAATTGTTATCACTAAAAATTTAACTTCTAGTATACTAATGGTATCCTTTTCTTATACAGATTACTTTTTGTTTTTCAGGCCAAGACCCACGTGCAAGATATAGATCAGCGGCTGCAGGGTGTGATAAAAAATAGGAACAGGGTAAAGGGCCTACCACTGTCAATTGAAGGACATGTTCACCATCTTATTCAAGATGCAACTGACAAAAACTTGCTGTGCCAGATGTATCTTGGGTGGGCACCATACATGTGAAATGCTGTCATTTGCAGACTAGTTGCCATAGTTAATTTTTAAAACAAACTTTAGTAATTTCTGCTAATGCAGATCAGTCTTAAATGTTTATATTGTATATAAATACTGTTTCCACTGATATAGTTGAAATTCCGTTTATAGAAATTATTTCAGTAAAAACCTTTGAATACAAAATGCAAGTTACTCTGTTTATCACTGTGTTGCTTCCACATACTTCACAATACAATAATGAGAGGTCTTTGAGCTAAGAATGTTAAGATATTGGATGTATAATAGAGTGAGCCAGATGGAAACATGCAATTCAAAAATAGAGTAAAATTACACTGTACATTCCCATGTCTTTCTATCCTTCCAAACCATCCTTGTTCTCACCATGTCCATGTGTCACTTCATACACTGCCTTTTCTTCTTTAAACTTCTCACCTCTCTTTGAGGATTTCATTAACTCTATTCAGCCACAACACTTTCATTCTTCTAGTTCTTTCAGCTCCTTTACTCTTCTATTACATATTTGTTTTGTGCTTCAATCCTTGTTCATCTTCCTTATATAACCAAGCCATCTCAACATTATATTGCAAATCATACAGGAACATAGTGTTTGAGCTGTGTTGCTCTGGTGAATGTGGCTCACAGTCCTAATTCGTGTGTGGGTGTGTGTGTTACAGAGACAGAGTGCATTTTGGATGATTTGAGTATGAAATGGTATAGAGATGGTTGAGATTCCTATTAAGGAAGAAAAATGAGGGTCAAAAAGTTGTAGCTGGTCTATGTACATAAGAAGGAGAAATACTGGATTTCAGTTGGGTCAAATACTAGGTTTTTCCACTGTAACAATAATGAAAGAGAACGGATATTTTAGAGCAGAGTTCTCAGTGAAAGCTAAGTGAATTGAGAGAAAAAAAGTTATAGAGAAGAAAAAGAAAGAATTATAACACGAACAAATTTTAAATGGGGGGAAAAAAATTGAGAACTTTGGAAGGAAAGTATCCTGACCTTTATTTCTAAATTTAAGCTCTACTTTAAAAAGAGAGTGAGCGGGCCAGTTTGGTGTAGTGGTTAAGGTGCTGGCCTAGAAACCAGAAGTTCTAGGCATCCCTTAGATATGAAAGCCCTAGACAATGGGAGAGTGTCTTAACTTCTATAGCAAGAGTATCAATGGACCTTAAACTACAACTTATTCAAGAAATAATAATATTTAGAATTTATTGGACTCCACTATGTTTATATAGAAAAGGACTGTCTAAGACAGCATTTTGTTGGAAATGTAATAAGGATAATGCTTCTTTAAGACACATGTTTTTACAATGTCCTATACTTACTAAGTTTTGGGAGAAAGTAGTAGACTATATAAATATGATTGTGCAACAAAAGCTAAAATTTTCAGTGGATAATATTCTCTTGAGTTACATATCTATTACATAGAATTTGACACCTGGACAATGTAAATGGATTCTCCATGCCCTTACTATGGCCAAAAGACTGATATTGCAGCATTGGAAAGATAAATGTGTGGCCTCATGGTCACTCAATGGATTGAAGGCTTGGTTATACTTGCCATTTATGAGTGGATTGCCAATAGATGTAGACTTTGTATGGACACGTATAATGAAATATGGAACTCATTTATACAAAATACAGATGGTTGAAAAAGAATGGTAATTAACTCTGTATTAGAAATATATATGTACTTGGATAATGTGTACATTAGATAAGTATATTTAGAATTGTAGCTGTTAACTGTTATAATGATATAGTATACTTGGTTCTTTTTTCTTCTGTTATATTTTTCACCTTTTTTAAAGCACTTTTTATACATCTTTTTCTTTGACAATGTATGTATTTGCATCATCATTAGTTTTGTGTTTTGTTCCTTTTTCTCTTTCTGTTCTTATTTTAAAATAAATAAATAAATAAATAGATAAGAAGGAAGCAAGCAAGCAAAGCCGGCTGGGTGACTTTGGGCCAGTCACTCTCAGCCCAACCCAGCTCACAGGGTTATTGTGGGGAAAATAGGAGGCAGGAGTATTAGGTTCCCATTTGCCCCAAAGCATTTTTTAGAGATCAAGTCTGAAGTACTGCACAGCTCTATTAAAAGAAGAATTGGCTTCAGTTCCAGCTAAGCTAATTTCCTGCAGGATAATTTCATTTTTAAGCATATTACTGTACTTAAGGTACTTTAAAATCCACATCGATCAAGCCAGTGTCCTTCCACTGAAATAAGACTATATAGTCGGATGGAATTAGTGAAACGGAAAAGGAAGTCAATTCTTTCTCATGCCCCATACACTAGGGTTCCTAAAGGATTGATTTGTGTTCAGGAGAAGAGCCTTCCTGATCTTCCAGATACTTGGAGTGAGCTATCTCAGTTGGCTCGCCCTCTCTGCGGTTTTGGTTAACCCCATCATCATAGATGAATAAAGGACTGATGGAGATGTCCCCCAGAATCCATTTCTCATCTCCTCCAGGGTAAGAACTAATGTGTGGCCAGCAATATGGGTTGAGCCAGTGATACATCTATGATGTCATTGCAGTAATGAACTGCAATTCCCAAATTGCCTCCAATCTCAGAGAGGAGAGGTTACAATCAGCTAGTACCAAAAGTCTGGGTAAATCTATAGCCATCCCTGCAGTAAGATTAAGCAGCTCAGGGCAGGATGCTGCCATGCCTCTAGGAGGACAGTACAATAGCAGCAGCCCCATCTTATCCCTTTGGCCCAACCTCACACGCAGAGCAGTGCTCATAACAGCCAGGATCTCCCAGTGAACAACTGCCATTACATCTCCTGCTTGGGACAGGACTGATGCAAGACATGAACCTCCTGGACCCATCTCAGCAAGAGGGGCTCTTCATCTAGCCAGCTCTTAGCAGCACATATGAGCTCTGCCCTCTCATCCACAACGAAGTCATCAACAAGACTGGATGTATTACAGACCTGGCATTCAAAACCACCAGTTTAAGTCTAGCATGCCCAGCAATCTGGTTGCCTGTCTCCTGGGTTGAGATAGGTGGAAGAGGGGTTGGAAGTAGAGATTGGAACCAAATTAACAATCTTCCCTCCCCTAGAATGGTTCAGCCCCTCTTCTGCCCCTACTATTATCCTCCCCCGCCAGCCCTCTCAGCTACCTAATTACCCCACTCTGCCAGGCACCGAATAACCAGATATGTACAACACTCCACACCGAGTCAGATGTTGTGAAAAATACCCAATTTTTCACCACTCCAATAGTGCAGCAACCAGCATCACCTCTCCCTGCCCCACCTCTACCAATCCCTCTCCAGCTAGGGTCAGAAGGACCCTCCCGTTTCTACCGTTCTCTACTTGCCAGCTTCCTCTCTAGTATATTGTATATTGATTGCTGCTAGCCAGGTGCTGATTCCCTGGCAGATTAAGAGGAGGTGTCGTTCCAAGTCTATTTCCTATTTAGTTTGCTTTTACTTATTACTCATGCATTTGCTTTCTTGCTTCTTTTTAATGGAATGCTGTGCTGTTTTTCTGGAAATTAACATTTAAACTATATATATTTTAAATGATTTATTACGTGCCATCAAATCGGTGTCAACTCCTGCTGATCGCATCGGCGGACCTTGGTCCTGGTCGTCCTTTTCTCTTTCACTCCACCTTTCCCAGCATAATGGACTTCAAGAGGATATTTTTAAATAGCCCTCTGTCCCACTGTCTGTTGGCAGCTCACAGACTGAAAACGCCCCTTTTGCCTCCCTTTCTCCTCCATCATCCGCCACTATCAGTGGGAATCTTTTGGCGATACAGGGTGATAGCAAGCCTGCAGTTCTCGCGACGCCCAATAGGAAGCATGCGCAGTCGCCGCCCCCCTTCTTTATTTTCCGACGCGGAGTCGGGCGCTCTAGTGAGGCCTCCTCTATGGTTTGGGCCCTTGGCGGAAGGAAGCGTTTTGCCTGAGAGGAAAGGTGGCAAAGGCGGTTGTTTGGGTTCGGGTGGGCTGCAGGAGACAGATAACAGGGAGGGCAGAAGCCGGCCGCTATGGGGGTGCCGAAGTTTTACCGGTGGGGCTCGGAGCGGTATCCTTGCCTCAGTCAGGTGGTGAAGGAGCATCAGGTGAGAAGTGGTGGTTTGCGCTTCCCTGTTCTCGAGAGGGAAGCTGCGAGGCTGCCTAACCATCGCACCCAGACCCGGGGCGACTCTCCTCTTTCCCGGTGGGCGGCCTCTGGTGAGATAGGCAGGTCTGGCAATAAAGCCTCGCCTGCCTCTGAAAGGGTTGCTTGGACCCCCGCCTGGAAAGCGCTGTGGCGGAGTTACCATTTTTGATTTCGGACTTACTAGCAGACCTTTTTTCGGGCCGGGCTAAGA